CTAACGCGGAGACGCCCAGCAACGGACACAGATCCAACCACAGCACCACTAGCCTCTGGTATCGACCGAAGAGGCACGGTTCTCGGTCCTTCCTCATCTTCTACAGGCCACGGCCTCCCGCGTCGCTCCGTCAGCGCATCAGCTGAACTCTTCAGACGCAAGCAAGGTGCCAAAGACTGGGGCGCAGCCAACCGACTCTCACGCAATATGGAGTCTCAGGCTCGGTCCTCACGGGATGACACCGCCCTGCCCTCCTTCCTAGACCTTGATCCAGACAGTGACGACGATTGGGACGTGGAAGGTGCTGCAGAAGGTCGTCGCGTTCAGGTAACCTTCACCGTACCGAAGGAGAAACTCCGTGTCGTCAACGCTACTGCAGGCGAACTGGACACATTCTCCGAGAAGTCCGTCAGCACAAGCAATAGCGATGCCGCGAAGTGAGCAGCGCTTGCTTGTTTTTCCATTCGTCTGAACACCCAGTTTTGCGGTGGTAAGCTTCTTTCGCCCTTTTCTTTCTCTCATGTGGGTATCTGGTTGATACATACATCCATAAATACCCACATCATGCATATATTACATACGGGGTTTTGATTGTTGATTTGTTTGATAAGATATGATACCACACTCGTTACACATTTGTTGCTACCTTTCTATTCTGATAGCTGATGCTTTTTCTCTTCGTTCGATGTCTTCATGCAAACGGTTGGATGAATGGATTGAACGATGTCAATGAGGTCGTGGGATTGACGAAGCTATGTGTCGAATGAACATAAATGAATTTGAATGATACTTACAACCTATTCCTCCTTCCGGTATATTTCACTTTCTCAAAAGTTTCAATTACCGATTACGCCAAGTGGCTAGTTCCTAGATAGTGGATTACTGTTCGATAACAAGCGAGGTTATTATGAAGATTCATCTGTTATAGTAGATACGAACGTAGAACGCCTTTTTGATTCGAAAACCAAACCCGAGAAGAAAATCTATACGAACATAATTCAAAAAAGGTAGGGTGATATAATATACCGAAGCAACAAATATCAATCAGAGAAAAAGAGGAAAATAAAAAAAGTCATTAAGTTGAGTTTCTGACTTGAGACATCAAACACATCAGCCGAACATGACGTACGTCACTGCATTCTAAGATAGAAAATGAAAAAACCCCGCATGCATAGATCAGTCCCCAAAGAGCCAATCGTGATAATTTTAGACTAGAGACCCCGAACCCAGAACAAAATAGAGAATAAATCGAACCACTTCCTATTTAAGCGCTGTGGCCGTTGGTACCCAGAGTGGGACGCGTGGGCAGGGTCTTGGGCAACGGGGGCAGAAGAGACTTGGCGCTCTCGCGGGAGTACTGAGCCATCAGGGCGTCCATGACGACCAGCGCGGACATGGCCTCGACAATGGGGACGGCGCGGGGAGTGACGCAGGGGTCGTGACGGCCCTTGGCTTCGAGGATACCCTCGCCGAAGTCGTAGGTGGCGGTGTTCTGGGCCTGGCCGATGGTGGCCGGGGGCTTGAAGGCAATGCGGAAGTAGATGTCGGCGCCGTTGGAGATACCGCCCTGGATACCACCGGAGTTGTTGGTCTTGGTGGTAAGGCGCTGCTTCGTGGTGGTGTTGGTGCCGAGTTGGGTAGGGACATCGGAGACGATGAAGGGGTCGTTGTGGATGGAGCCGGGGACCTCGCAGCCTCCGAAGCCGGAGCCGATCTCGAAGCCCTTGGTGGCGGGGATGCTGAGCATGGCGTGGGCGAGCTTGGCCTCGAGCTTGTCGAAGCAGGGCTCACCCAGACCGACGGGGACGTTACGGATCACGCAGGTGACAGTACCGCCGATGCTGTCGTGGTTGTCGCGGAACTGCTCAATCACCCTGGTCATGCGCGCGGCGGCATCGGCGTTGGGGCAGCGGGTGGGCGCGAACTCGTCGACGGTGGTACGGGTGATGGTCTTGAGGAGGTTGAGGTATTCGGGGTTGGTGGAGGCAGTGGGGTGCTCGGGAGTAGGGGGGAAGAGGTGCTCGTTGCCAACGGAGGAGACGAAGGCGACAATCTCAACGCCGTGCGAGAGGCGCAGGTACTTTTCGGCGATGGCACCGGCAGCCACACGGCCTGTAACCCGGGGAAGATTGTGTTAATGGCATTCCCTTCTGGAGATGAGCGGTTTCACTTACCAATGGTCTCACGGGCACTACTGCGACCACCACCGCTGCTGGCCTTGACGCCGTACTTCTCGAGGTAGGTCAAGTCGGCGTGACTGGGGCGGGGGTACAGGTCCATGGTGCTGTTGCCGTAGTCCTTGGGTCTCTGGTCCTCGTTGCGCACCATCATGCCAATCGGAGTTCCCAGTGTAACTCCAAACTCCGTTCCGGACTGGATTTCAACGCGGTCCTTCTCATTACGAGGCGTCGTCAGAGCACTCTGGCCGGGACGTCTCCGGGTCATCTGGGGCTGGATGTCGTCCTCGGTGAGTTCCATTCCTGGGGGGCAGCCATCGACGATGCAGCCGACGGAGCGGCAGTGCGATTCACCGTAACTGAAAAGCGAAAGAGCGCGATTAGTATGTGCATGTATATGGACAGAGGTATTTGCGTCTGTGTGGTGGTGATGGTGTGCGATGTCACCATCATCATAGACTGGGGCTGACTCAGAAGACCTACGTGGTGACCCGGAAGTAATCACCCCACGTCGACATGGCGGACGGTGTTCAATTGATTGATGGGGTTCGGAGGGAGAAGAGAAGGTGGGATCTGTAGGGAGAGGATGGGAGAGAAGTCGAAGAAGACAGGATATCGAGGGAGAACGAGGCCAAATAAGAAGAATGGAGGGGAAAGGAAGAGGAGGAGAAAAGTAAGCGAGGGGCAGACGGAAAGAAAAGTGAAGTCTGGATGGAGTCTCGGAGAGAGGAATGGCACGTCGGGCTGCCACTTTGATCGTGTGCGGTTTAGCTCCCGGCGAGATCGGCCTTGTTCCTTGGCTCCCATTGGTCAATCATCCTCTCCGACTGTAGGTACCGTTCGGTCTGTTTTGAAGGTACGCCTGGTATCTTGCATTATGATGATACTTACAGTATTGTCACCATCTTCTCTTTCTTTCTTTCCCTTCCTCTCTACCTGTTCTGGACTGGCCATGAGTTGCTCGGCAGCTCTCTAAACCCTCCAATGCGTCTCTTCTCCTCTCGAGCAACATGCTGGCTATCGTCGCTCCGAGTTCCCCATCCCAGCGCTAGCCTGCGTTCTAATGCCGTGCGGTGGAATTCCTCATTCTCCGCCGACCAATTCGCCCAGCTCGCCAGTCGCCAGTCCTCCCGGCATCAAATCTACCAATCTCTCTCCACCGATCCCTACGTGAACCTCTCCATCGAACACTTTCTGCTGGAGCATGCGCCCGCCGACTCGAACATCCTCTTCCTATATATCAACCGACCGTGCGTGGTAATCGGGCGCAATCAGAACCCATGGCTCGAGACCAACCTCCGAGTGCTACATAATGACCGCGGAACCGCGGAGCACGGAATCCACTCCTACAACGACACCGAAGATGCGCTCTACGTCCGACGACGGTCTGGCGGTGGTGCCGTCTTCCACGACGAGGGCAACCTCAACTACAGCGTGATCTCCCCGCGACCGACATTCACACGAAACAAACATGCGGAGATGGTCGTGCGCGCATTGCACCGTGTCGGAGCGACAGCTACCAGCGTCAATGACCGCCACGACATCGTCATGTCCCTTGACGAAGGGCAATCCCAACCTCGAAAGATCTCCGGCTCAGCGTTCAAGCTCACGCGACACCGCGCGCTTCACCACGGCACCTGCCTACTCGATTCGCCCAACATCAACTCCCTCGGTTCGTTCTTACGATCGCCCGCACGAGACTACATCAAGGCCAAAGGAGTGGAAAGTGTGCGATCCCCCGTCGCCAATGTATCATCCGTATTCGCCGACGCCTCCATCCCATTCGGAATCCAAGACGTGATCGCCAATATCATGACGGAGTTTGCAGAGCTATATCAGACCAATCCGGATGCTGTGCGCCGCGCGCAGCGTGCCTATGTCCACGACGCAGAGCTATACGCAGGAGACGACTGGGTCGTCGGAGCGGTGGGAGAAGCCCAAGGCTACGAAGAGCCCGAGATCAAGAAAGGCATCGACGAATTACGAGTGAGTCGCTGCTCGATAACCCTGACAAGTCAAAGCCAAGATACCGTAAACTAACACAGTATTGAAAATTTGCAACAGTCGCTGGAATGGAAATACACGCAAACGCCCCAATTCATCTTCTCGACTTACCCCGTGGAAGAGGACCCTCGCGAACGCCCCGCCCTTCCATCATCCCTACCTCCTTCTGTAAGATGGCGCTTTCCCTTTCTCTTGGCATCAGTAAGCAACAATCTATAACTAACCCAATTAAACACAACACAGACACGTGTGTTTCTCCGCCTCAAACACGGGGCCATCCTGGAGAGCCACATCTCCGTCTCGTCCGATTCCTCCGTCGGCTCGGAGCAGGCTGCCCGTCTGCAGGAGGCACTCAAGGGGCGTAAGCTTCACGAGATCCGGCCGACCCACTGGAAGGAGATTCTATACGAACAGTTGGGGGCGGAAGAGGATGCAGCTACTATAGAAGAACTCGCTAGGTTTATTGCGACTAAACTTGGGTGGGTCTAGATACGAGATTACTACCCTCTTCACTTCATATTGCATTGCCTACTTCATGTACGATAGATTACTATGTTGCTATAGACGACTGTATGCTATGTATACTACTCTGCGGTTCTGTATGAAGATTAGATTATGTGCTATCGCATCTTCTGGTTTTCTGCGTTCACTATGATCTACTACAACGGTCTTGTCTTGGGTTGGGTTTGAAACATGCAATTGCTGACAATCACGCAATGTCAGCTACGGTAGTTACTGGCCAGCTCACTAGAACCCGTGATGCACATACAGAAAGGTATAAGTTCGACGTACTACATAATCTACCATGGGATAGTCACATTGTATGATATTCAGTCATCATTCATAAGTCGTATGTATTCTACCTGCTATGTACAACCCCTCAAACACCCGAAACAATCTCCACGAGGGCCTAAGATGAAGTAGGAAACGAAGAACAGAAGTACAATAACCCCCACAATATGCGACCCGCGTATGAACAGTGTGAACAAGTTAAATACAATCAAAGCACAGCTAACCCAACTCCTCTAGTGCAAGCGCTGAAGATGATGCACCCTGGAACAGAATGCGAAAGTAGAAGCACAAGAAAGAAAATTCTGACAAAAGCGAAAAAAAAGATCAGAAACAGGCCTATTTCAGGCCCCGAGTCGGGAATCGACGAAAGCCCTCGCCTTGGAGTTTCGACTGGCTCCGGGTGACTCGCCGGGCGGGCCTATCTTCGAGACTCAACCCTCCAATTCCGGGTCCCAGCTCGGTTCGTCGCGGCGAGAACATCGCCTCGCTGGCAGCCCGTCCGTACCGGATATTCCGCACGGTGTTGCTAGTAGCAGTGGTTGCGGTAGTCACGGTTGTCTCCGTGTCTGAATCTCGATCGTAATAATCTGAGGCGTCAGAATCGTTCCCTTTTAGGCTTTTGAGACTGAAGCTGTGATCCTTGCTGGAGGAACCGTCGTATGGAGAGGGTGCAAGCGAGTAGTACGGCTCCGGCGATTGTGTCGCAAAGCTAGAGGTAGGGAGAGTAGAAGAGAAAGAAAGCGGCGGCGCAGACCGCTGAGAAGAGAATGATTGCAGGGGTTGGTAATCGATTGCCGGTTGAGGAGAGTGCCCGGGATTCTCGCCATTCGATGGCGAGTTATGGCCGGATTGTTGTGGCTGAGGACCAGTGCTGCTTGCCCTGGCTATATTATATAGCGAGAGCAGACCCAGCGCCTCCTGGACCGCCATGAACACCAGAAGCAGCTGGCCGTATCTGTCGAAGTAATGGCGCTCGATTGACACTCGCGGCAGGTTCCCGCCGAGGTGGACAGCTGCCACAAGCTCCGCAAAGTAAACAAGAATTTCCATGCCGTTCCACTGCACGATAGGTTGCTTGAGGGCCTCCAAGAGAGCGAATCCAGCAATCAGGCTAGCACTGCCCAAGGAGGCCACCTCTACATAGTTCCCTGGGATTGACAAGCGGTCATACTGTGAGAGGACCCAGGCAACGAGTGAGACAAGTAGCAGGCCTAACCGAAGATATTGGTACACAAAATAACCCCGCAAGTTGGCAGACTGGCGAGAGTGCGAGTTCGATGATTGATGGCGAGACTGCCAAGAGCTGTCCTCTTCATCCTCGGGCGACTTGATAGTGAAGGTTCGGTCAAATAAACTTTCGAGTCCGGTAGTCGCAGCATGGTCGCTCACAGGGAAAAACTTGGGAGGTGCAAACACCGAGTCTGGGCTGTTTTGGTTGCGATGCCATCGGAGGTTTTGAGTAGGAGTGCGGTGGAATGGGTTGCGTTCAACGACTTGTTCGATTGGTTTCACACGCTGAGCGGGTTTATTGCGCAGGTTCCATGCGGGTGGCTGTGGTGCAGCAGGAACGGATCCATAGAAAGGCATCGGCCCATCGAGCACGGACTTCTGATCCCTTTGATGAACGCTGACAGTCGGTGTGAGTTCGTGCTGCACGGAGGGAGTCCAGTCCATGTCATCCGATTCTGGAGGTGGTGTGGGAATGGTTGGGGTCTCGAGGGCTGCCCGCGGTGTGGTCGCCCTTGGGGTGCCTAGCTTTTCGAGAGGGAAACGAGAGGTGCGCTGCCGAAGATTGGAGCTTGGGGTCGAAAACTCCTGTCCGGTAGTCGTAGAGGGCGGAGGGGAAGCTTCGGTTCTGCGGTTTGGCGTGGCTGCGGGCGTGTCATCGGTCCAGTCTACCAATGGCCGGGTATCGTAGCGCACTATCCGCCGGGAGACCATGACAGACTGAGAAATCATTAGCATGCTGGGCTCAGATAATACTTGTCAGATGATTAGCTCACCATAATTGTGAAAAAGATCATGAAGAGATGCAATGTTGGTGGCAGGTCTGGTGGCAGTCCACTTGATGACGGATCCCTTAAGACGCCCCAGAAAGCGCATCGCACCACCAAAATGATGAGCTGAACCTGGTAGTACTCTCCTAGTTTGACGAAGCGACCTCCTCGCCCTTCAACCTTGAGTCGCAATTTCGGGTTCCACCAAATGGACAGGATGCCCGCAATCAGCGCAAGACCGGCATACGGTGCCAGGTCTATTGAGCAATGGTTCGGCACGCGGCGGGTCTCGAATAGAAGGTTCACGCAAGAGAAAATAGAGGGCGACATCGAGGGGGAGTCTGGATCCTGCAGCGGTTCCCACTCCTCAACAGTCAAAGCACTCCACACATTCCAGCTAAGTTGACCAGCAACACTAATCCAATAACCCAGAGCACCAGCTAAGACCAACAGGTTCCTCCAGTTCCATCGACGTGCTTGCCGAGCGGCCCTTCCAGCTTTACTCCGGTCCATCATGCGTCTCAGGTGGTCTGACTTGGCTTCATATCCTGCCTGACGTATGCGTTGCTTCACTCTGGGTTCGCATTTGACGCACACCTGCGGATAACGCTCCTCTAAGTTCTTGCGGAATTTGGGGTACTCCTTCTCATATGCGCTGTAGTTCGGATCATCAGATGACGGAAAATAGGACGCTAAAGCGCTGGTAAAGAGGTGTTGGTTTCGAAGACACTGGGCGCAGAATAAGCTGGAGGCCGTAAAGTCGGTGGATTCGAACGGTGGGCTCGATGCCCCGGGACCGTAGACGTCTGGATTTGTTTCTGCAGCGGGGGGATCCGTGATTTCTCCTTTCTATGAAGCGCAACCGCCGAGGCAATTAGTACTTAAAATCTTGCTTGACGCCTGAATATACAAAACACGGGACTTACCTCATCCAGGTAGTTAACGGCTTCGCAATGTTTGCAACGCCATTTGCGGGCAGTGTCGCTGTCGGAGTGGGCCGAGCGACGCCCGCAATAAAAGCATTTGAATCGCTTAGCGAACAATGAAGCCATCTCAAGCCGTGTAGGTGGACATAAGAAAATGGGATGGACGATGGGGGGAAATCAGAGGAAGGAGTTAAGACAACAACACCAAAATAATCGCCGAGACTAGCACGGACCACGTGCCTGGATAGTTATCCAGCTTCCAGATAGATCCCCAAGCATCGAACGCCCCCCGCAACAATTACTCCTCATTCACTTGTTGCTTCCCAGCTATTGTCGTAACTAACTATGGGGCTGGTTTGACAAGGTTTGAAGAAGAAGTCTCCGCCTTTTAATGCGCTGTCACTATATACATAGAGTTCATTCGTTCCGCCGGCCGCATGCGACAACTGCGACAACTCTGGAACCTGCCACATCCTCAATAACACATCTTCGGTTCATCTCAAACAATACATACAGCAACCTCTCAATCCCATGGAGTCATGGCTATCCTGGACTAGCCTCTTTCTGGCTATCGGCATTACTGCCATAGCCTGCATATTTACGCTCATTGTAAGCAATTCCCTGCACATCATCTCCCCTATACAACCAAAGCTAATCCGCCCACTCGATAACTTTCAGGTCCTCATCTACGCTCTCGCCAAATCACAAAACAGCCAAGTCCCCAAATGGCGCCCACGAAACTCCCCGGTTCATCTCCTAGTCGTCCTCGGTAGCGGCGGCCACACAGCCGAGATGTTCTCTATGCTCCGGCGCATGAACCTAGATCCGTCCAAATACACCCATCGAACCTACATCGTAAGCTCTGGGGACAATTTCAGCGCGACGAAAGCTGTTGAGTTCGAAACAACCCATATAAACCATCATGTCAATTCCAATGCCAAAACCGCATCACCAGAACCCTCCTACACCATCGTCACGGTACCCCGCGCCCGTCGCGTACACCAATCCTACCTGACTGCGCCTTTCTCCACACTGAACTCCTTCTGGTCCTGTCTCTCGGTCTTGCGTGGTCTTTATCCGGACCAGAGCCGGCATTCTCGCCCAGCGTCGCATCTATCCCCTCCATACCCGGACCTCATTCTCACCAATGGCCCTGCCACCGCGGTCTGCGTCATCGTTGCTGCCCGGCTACTTCGTCTATGGCTGTTCTTGTGCGGGCTCTTTTCTCCTTCTGCGCCCGGAAGAAGAACGTCAGAAAGTGACTCTGCAACCGTGCCAGTGCCGGGTACCTACCAGCTGCGCACAATCTTCGTAGAATCGTGGGCTCGCGTAACTACATTGAGCCTGTCGGGAAAGCTCCTGTTGCCTCTGACCGATCGATTTCTGGTCCAGTGGCCCGCATTAGCAGGGAAGAAGGCGTGGCCAGGAATGAAGGAGACAGAATACGTGGGTACACTTATGGATTGAGTGTCCGGTGTTGTATCTCCGGTTCTACAAGTCTTCAAAACTTCGATCTTTCCGGTGTCTTGCGATTTGATCTTAGCCTGTTGTATCTATAGAAATATCATACATGATACCCCTTGAACATTCAAAATAGACCGTCGGGTCATTCACCGTGTCACTTAGCAAAAACAAGCTGTCGGGCCCTACGGGCGATCAGTCGGCGGCGGGACCACATCGAGGGGCCGAACCGAGGTATACATTGGAGACAGTAAGGTTGGACTCCCCTCTTTTCAGTCTTCTGCATTGACCCTGGCAGGGTTGATCTGAAAACGATAGTTCTTGGACAATAATAATACCATAGTAAGACTCACTATACTGAGTAAGACTGAAACCCCAGTAGCAAATCTTGGGCCTCATAGTAGAAAAAGCGCAGCTAGTGCAGGTGCACCACCCCCTCCAACCCTGCAAGTAGACAAAAAGACCGCAAGTCACGTACTAGTCGGACGGAGGGTTCCGCAGCAGGCATTAGTTAACTAGATGAGCGCCGCCGACATAAGCCCCGATTGACCCCGCTTCGTCAAGTACTTATCTACTACTTCGGTGTCCTCAGTTCGGCCCAGCTCTGCTAGGTCTGCTTCGATCGGTTCAATCAACTATCTCGCCATATAATCATGTATTCTCTGCGAAACCGCGTTGCCCTTATCACGGGCGGCTCACGGTATGTTCCCTCGCTTCGCTGTGTTTACCTTTTTGGGGGCATTCATTAACGATATGTGACATTTAGAGGGCTGGGTGCTCTTGTGGCCCAGAAATACGCCGCCGAGGGTTGCAATGTCGCCATCAATTACGCTTCGAGCAAAGACGCTGCTGAGAAATTGGCCGCGGAACTTCAAGAGAGTTACAAGGTCAAGGCTATTACTATACAAGGTGTAGGTTGTGACGAGTGTCATTGACGGAGTGCTGGACTGATATCGTGGCTGTATCATTTAGGATGCCGGTGTTCAGAATGATTGCGTTAACGCTGTCAAAACCACCATTGATCAGTTGGGGGGCCTGGATATCATTGTTTCGAACGCAGTGAGTCGCTACTATCCCGGTCCGTGTCAGCAATAGGGGAAAATTGACTGAACGCATGGCCAGGGTTGGACCAAAATGACCAAGTTCAATGACTTGGACGCTATGAATGACGAGGAATGGGATAGAGTAGGTGTCACAATGGGGTGAGCCCTGTAGAGGGTCGCCGTGATTTGCAAGGCTAACGAATATCTCAGTGCTGGTCAATGAACGTAAAAGGCCATTTCTATCTTTTCAAAGCAGCACTGCCCACATTCAACGCAAACCCCGAGGGTGGCGTGTTCCTGCTGACCTCATCTATTGCGGTAGGTCCTCTACGAAGGTCGCATGGTAAGATGCGCAAGTGTTGACCAGCAAGATAGGCCGTTACGCCAACTGGAAGCAGCTTGCCATATGCGATCACTAAAGCAGGAGGTAAGCAACCCGCAATGAACGCTTTGCATCCCCGTTAACATCAGCAACAGGACTGCACATGGTGAAATGCCTTGCACACACTCAAGGTAGCAAGGTCCGCGTGAATGCGGTTCTTCCTGGCCTTCTTTTGACTGAATGGGTAAGTAGCGCCATCGCAGTTGTAGTGGAGCTTGGTCGCGGCAGAGCTAATGTGGACGAACCATAGGGCCAGCGCTTCCCTGCCCAAGCAGTTGAGGGGTGGACGGCAAAGACAGCCCTTAAGAAAGTGGTAAGGCTCTTGACCAATCCATGCACTGTTTCCGCCTATTAACGAGGTCGTGAACAGCCTGAGCTTGAAGACGCTGCTCAAGCATATGTCATGCTTGCGCAGAACTCATCTATGACTGGGCAAGAGATACAGATCGGTGAGTGCTCTTGCTTTTGTTGTCTACAACAAAACTAACTTTTCAGATTCCGGCTTCTCCTTCAAATAGAGAAAATGTGGAGCCTTGCGAAGTAGACTTTCTGATGTGGCATTGGGCACTGGAACGGGTAAATATTAAGTGCTAGAGCTGGTATCATGACGTTAGCAAGATAGAACACATATCAGTTTACTTTTATCACCAGTCCCCTACACAAGAGGGTTGTAAAACGGCGTATAGCCCACTTCACCGGAGTAAAATGTCCGGTCGCCAACCATCCGAGCCTTCAGAGCAGCGCGAAGAGCGTCGGCATTCGGCTCGCCCTCCACCTTCATCTGGTGTACTTTGATGAGCTTCCCATCTCGCGTGAACACGTAAACGCCCTTTCCCTTTGTAGAATCGATGGGATGCGTGCCATTAACGAATGGCAAGCCTGGGACAACGGAGAACTTGTCGCAGCCTTTGAGTGGTGTTACTTCTTCCAAATTGGTGAAGATAACTCGCCGGTGTTGGAAGGAAGGTTTTTCACTGGAAGTGTTGTTGGCAACCAATGCCTTGCTCCAGAGTGGACCCAAAACGCGATTCCTTCTGCTGATGTCCAGGGAGGACCAGTTTTGCCAATCTAGATGCCTGTCCTCCGGCTTGATCTTGGCCGCATGGACCAATGGGCCGTCTCCTTCAGAGGCTCGCCAGCCCGCATCTTCCACCGGGGGAACAAAAAGACCTTCCCGTATACCCTTGACGAGAATATCCGCGCCCTTCGGACAGACTAGATTCAATAAATCGGGTACTGTGCATGCATCTGGATTGGGAATGTCGAAGCCAGGGGCTGGAGTCTGCGCCAGGATAGTGCCATGATCGAAGTGCTTGAGATCGAGCGTCTGAAGGGTGACACCGGTCTTAGTTTTACCGGCTAACAAGGTATGATGTAGTGGTGCAGGGCCCCGGAAGCTTCAAGTATTGTGTTAGCGGGGTCCCATCGTGGGTAATCTGCGACTGCATACTCAGGAAGCAACGATGGATGGACATTTAGACCTCCATACTTCGCGCCGTTGAGAAGCCGCGGAGGTACGAACAGCCCAAATGAGACGGCAATGATCAGGTTTATAGGGCCACCGGGTAGCGTAGGCGGCTAACAGTGTCAGCACGTAACCATAGCAGGTATCAACAGCTGCGAGTTACCGTCCAGCCTCGAAAAGTATCTATCTCGTGGATCGGAAGCGACAACTCCGTTGCGGCCGCTTTGATGGGAACTGCAAGATAAAAAACAATTAGCTGCGCGAACAACTTGTCAAGCTTGCCTAGATAAGTACAGTACCCTCGCGGATCTGCTTCAGCCCTCTTCCAACCTTCTTCCCTGGCCTGCAAACGACATCAATTGAGGCAATCCGATCCGGTCGCTTGACATGTTCTTCATGGAGAGCTTTCAACGAAGCTATGCTGAAATCGTCAGATCCGCAAAAGAGAATCCGGAGTGGGTCGTAGGCCTTCGTCGCAAGGCATCTATGTGACAAGGATGGGAAAAGACCGGCTCGTCTGTAGGTACAGAGAGCTCCAGGTCCCCGCAAGAGAAACATGGCCAGCAATTGACGGCAGCGATGTGCGGGTGACGGAACAATCAAACAGTCGCATCCGCAGCAGCTCCGGCAAGTTCGCCGACTTCCCATCTCCACCACGTGATGTCACCGCCGCCCACTACTCCAGTCCGTCTGGTGACGATGAGTGTTTCTCACCCAACTGCACTTCCTCACTGTGAGCTGGAGCTCACGGTTCGATGGTGCAATGCCGGAGAGTGATTTAGCGTCAGTGATTCCTGCGCAACTGTCGTTCCTCGCTATATACAACCCCCGCCTCGGTCCGACCGACGAGACAATCCGCGACCAAGTCGTCTTCTATACATCTCGATCGGGTCGATCGCGCCGACGTGAAGGCTCCGCGGCTGACGATGGCGACCAACACTTCAACGATTACTGGAATGAGATCTTGCGACAGATAGGGCTGGCTCAGGGCATGGTAGGCTTTGCCAGGTGGGATTCGCTCTACATCGGTCTACCACAGCCGGCGCTGTACTAATGATCCTAGGGACTTTTCGCAAGGAAAAGCAGTCGATTACGTCGAAACCGAAAAGTCGCAGATTATTCTACATGAGCTTGAAAAGGATTGGTGGATTCTAGCTGTAGGTAGACTTGCGCCAGAGCATCACATTAATAGCTGCTGAGCTTGTTACAGTCTGTCGACCTAACTCGCCTCCCACTTGATCAACCTAGCACAACTTCCTCTCAGCGCGATGCCTCGTCTCCTTCATTCAGCTATTCCTCAAGGGAGATGTCTCCTCCTGCTTTGCTAATACAACAACTGCGTCGAGCTCACTCTGTCTTTCTCCTCCACCACGACTCGACACTCGACGCCTTATACAGCCGTGTTGGCAGGCCCACATTTTGTGCTCTTATCGATGCTTTCTGGTGCAGGTTCGCATGGAACTGGGAGGTTCTGTTAAGCGGAAACCCCGCTGTTGACATATACAATGGCATCAAGCTCTCCGCGGGTGGTGAACTCGGAATCGGCGTTGGCGAAGAAGAGTGGGGAAGCGGGGAGAGGGAAGTTTTAGAGGACTTTGTCGCCCGCACAGATGGTCTCATGGACTTGGTTGTCTCACGATTTGGTGATCCTGGCTCCTCTGACATGGAACTGGCAGCAAACACCAGACCGGGAGATTCGCTAAACACAGGTGACGGCGAGGATCGATGGCTTGGCTCGGGAGCCTGCCCTAGGCCGGCAGATGGAGTTATATTCTCAGGAGTCGGAGCAGTCTCTAGGCCATCCCTCTTGCGAATCTCACAATGGATGGAATCAATCTATAGATATGGCGCTGACGCATACGGAGTAGGCGAAGACCCAAGCTCACCACGTCGTCGGAAGCGGCGAAGAAAGCACCGCAGCAAATTAGCTGGAAGCGATCCCACCAAGCAAACGGTGGCGGAACCTCAAGCTACGACACCCGATCGCCCTTTTTCTCCAGGTATACCACCTCCACTGGTGGTTGGAACAGCGGAGTCTCCGCAGGCTCCACAAAAGTCGAGCTCACATACCAGTGGCGAGAGCTCACCAGTAGGGAGCGATCGAGGAAACGACTGGATAGGCTTCAGGACAGAGACATTTGTGAAATATCTTACTCTTGGCTATGGCTCGTCTTGGGGTGTCTCGTCGGGAACAGCCAGTCCACACCCGCGAGTCGAGGCTATCAAGCGAGAAGACAGGCCGATGAGCCCAGACAAACAGACGGATTTGTCTACTGATGCCCCGGGAGCTATTAATGGGGAGGATCCTCAGCCCAGTGATGGCAAAAAGATTCAGAGCTGTGGGAAATTTCTCATTGGCCTGCTTTCTAATACTGGCAATCAGAGCGCACCTATGCAAGAGGGCTCTGACCCAACGGAAAGTCAGACAGGGCCATCGCAGAATAATATAAACTACAGACGCTTGCACATTCAATTGTCAGAGTCTACGGAGCCGGCTCTAACAGGTAAGGGATTCAATGTGTGATTAGACCGTCCACAGCTAACCAGCTTCGCCTAAGGCTTGACAGAACTGCAAGCAGTAGTCTATATTGTATGTCTTCCCCATACCACACACAGCCTTACTACCTGAACTAACAGACTTACAGCATCAACCATTTATATATACATTTCTATTTGATCCCGCAACCCCGACTCTATCCGACCCGACGCTATATCAGACCATCAGCCACCAACTCAGCCCGCTCCACAAGTCTCTCAGCAATTCCACATCACCTGCCACCGCAGAACTTCGCATTTCCATGTCCGATAACGCCCTCGACATCAACAAGCGATTCTCCGGCAAAAGCCAGCCCGTCTACAATCTAGTCTACGATCAGACAAACTTAACAATCCGCTCTTCAATCCCGAACATACCAGACCTTGGGTCCACCGTCAACGAACCCCGGGATCCAGCCACACACCCATGGTCGCGCGTCGAGAGCCTCAATATCCACCACCGACTCTTAAGCACCCACCTTGAAACCCGCTCGCGACCTCTCGAGGTCGAAAGAACCTGCAAGACCAGCCGCGGCTGGTGGATCGTCTGGATCCGAATGTCCGAACCCCCCAGACAAGAACAAGGGAGCACAGCCTCCAACGCCAGTGTCCAGACCAACACGGAGCCGGACAGTAATAATGCCCCCCTTCAGGAAGCATTCATCGTCCGCAGATCCAGTGATTCCGTCTCTCCATCCGGCCACGCACGCAACAGTAGCAGCACTCGGTTCTTCCGCGATCTAGGCGGCGCTTCATCGCCGGGATTGCAGGCATCGCGGACCGATACAGGACCGGGGAAACTTGTCGAAGGGCTGGGCCTGGACGCAAGACGGTATATTGAGAATTTACTCAGCTTGAATAGATAAGACACGAGATGATATATATACATTTACGAACCATAAAGAGACTCGATTGGTACTTATCCTTCGATAGTCACTATCTGCAATGAATATGGTAGATCATTCACTCTATGCTCGGTATCACCACTTCTGATTCAATTGAATCATGAACCAATCAGACAAAGGAGAATAGCAACTGTAAGTACTAGACTTTGAACACTGTAGCCGAAGATAAATAACTCACTATCCACTCAAAACGAAGATCATACCCACAGCCAATGAACCCACCTACAAGCGAGGCGGAAAAAGATGCACGCTTCACACGATACATGACTCGGGGTAAGAAGAAGCATGAGATACAGCGAAGTGGATATTCAATATATGACAGGCAAAGAAAATGAGTTTGTCATGTGGTTCTGATTCGATAATTCATGTTCATTTTAAATTTGTCATGTCAGATTCACAATATATACGGTAAGTACCTAGTAGTACATATAGTAGAACACCCAGTGATTAAATTATCTTTAGGCATTCATATAATAAAATATATACATATATATATATAAGCTCAAACTACACCTACTACTTACTATAAAAGAAGTAAAGCATAGTCATTGTAGGGAAGAAAACCCAGGTACAACAATTGTGTAGATAGGATAAGTAGTAGTTCGTTACCCCTGAAAACGATTCAGTCCCGTCCGTAAGTCACATACAGAACCGCCGGTACGAACGTATGTATGAAAAACAAATTGAAATTGGACGGGATCATTACATACCGCATAACAACTTAAATTCCTATTTCTATCACATACTTATATATGACTACATTATATCTTCTGCTTGATAAATATATCTACTATCTATCTATTTGTTCCTTGTTTTCCTCACTACTATCGAATTTCCATATATAGATGGAGAAACCGGGATGAGTGGTCGTGGTTGAACTTACGTCTTGACTTCTATCTAGTCCGGCTAGTGTTACTATCATTAGACGCTAGCTATCAGTGGATTGGCATCCCCCCTTGGCTTGCTGTCTACTATCCACACCCCCCCCTTCCCTGTCTGTAGGCTGCCGAATATCGCTATGTTAGGCTATGGAGTGTTGCTATTTGAGGTAGGTCAGAAAGTACAAATGCTAAAATAGACGGTTATACTAGGAGTATACGCAGTGCATACGCAATAGGATCATCACAGTACGCGAAAAGTGTGGGAGAAAATGGTGGATTAGTAAATAGTAACTTAATAGGCGTGCTAGATATTCCTCATGTCTGCTCGTAGACCATGACGGTAGAACATGATGCAGTGCAGGTTCGACTGGATAGGCTGCAGGACATGTAGGAGAAAACCAAGCCAGCGACAAATTCCATGCATTCTCTTTAACCGAAACAGGGGAAAAAACAACAGAAATGGGGGATAAGACTGTGCTGAGGGGAATCCGTACAAAGTGAGAATCGGGATTCCGATTCTCGACTTCTTTTTCTTTCCTTGGACCGGATACATTCGAGAGATTTGACTGATGGGAGAGACGTGAGACGAACGCATTCCCCAGTTGCTCAATTCCGATCTGCAGTACTCGGGGGTAGCGAGGACGTTTGCTTTGAAGGCAACCTGGCGCCCTTCTTGCCATAGTGACCGAGAACCATCCCGTTAGGCGCCTATGGAGCTGGAAACCGATAGGAAAGAAAAAAAGAAAAAACCCACGAGGTTATGAAGACAACGCCTCCCTAGAAAATCAAATCAAGTCTGCAAAATAGAAAGTCGACCAAGTGCATAGCCAGATATCCCATGAAGCTCATGTGCCCGTGATTGAACATTATCCACACTCGCATCCGGGCACACATAGTGGAACACGCCAACGGAATGACCCCCTCTTGATAAATAGTAGAAAACCAAAGGATCAGACGCTTATCCGTTCATATAATCTCCGCATGAAACAGACCTTTTGCGAAGGAGAGAAAACTAGTTTACAGGATAGTGCACTTCTTCTTACTCTTATGGGTCTTTGTAAGAAGGGCAGCCCGGGTGGCAGCCTCGAAGACCTCGCGGACACCCTCGTTGGTGCGCGCAGAGCACTCAAGGTACTTGTAAGCACCGATCTTCTTGCGAACCTCCTCACCCTAATCGCATATTAGCCTCTATATCGGGGGATGATGCATCGTTTTGGTCGTGTGCCACATACCTGCTCAGGGGTAACCGGCTTTTGGGAGGTCTTGTGAAGCTCCTCGATGGTCTTGGGGTCGTGGCGCAGATCCATCTTGCAACCAACAAGGATGATGGGGAGTCCCTGACAGAAGTGGAGGACCTCAGAGATCCACTGTGATGATATTAGTTATCTGAAAAGCAGGTCCTTTGCCCATCTACCCGCTAAGGAGACCAGGCATGTTGCGGAGAACTAACCTTCTCCTGGACGTTGTCGAGGGAATCGGGAGAGTCAACCGCGAAACAGATCAGGATGACATGGGAGTCAGGGTATGAAAGAGGACGAAGACGGTCATAATCTTCCTGACCAGCCGTATCCCAAAGGGCAAGCTCGACGTGCTTGCCATCGACCTCTACGTCGGCGACGTAGTTCTCAAAGACGGTAGGGACGTACACCTAAAGCGTGATAGGGTCAGCTTAACAGAAGCGGAGTGCTTGTTGACTGGAAGGCTAGCCAAATATCTCGGGATGGCCATGGGGGCGGGTGAAAGACGGCATTAAGGGTCAGGTCAGGAGGGTCGGTGGAAGCTAACCTCAGGGAAGGTACCCTTGGAGAAGACGCTGGTGAAAAAGAAGAAGTCAGAGTTAGTTCACTGCTTGATCCCTATGTAGCGAAATTGGAAGAAGAGAGGATACTCACATCAAAAGACAAGTCTTACCGCAGGCACCATCGCCCACGATGACGAGCTTGCGGCGGATTTCAGCCATCTTTCAAAGCGTGGAGGATTAGCAAAGGACGAGAAGGAAGAGAAGTCGAATAGGAATGAAGGGGATGATGTGGTGAAAGAGTGGCCAACGACAACGAGCGAGGCGGGAAGCTGTTGTTGCAGGAGTGGATGGATGGGGGTGTTGGATGGGGGAAGTTGAGAGTAGAGAAAGGGACAAGTCAGGCGCCCGAGGAAAAGGGTTATCACGTACGGTGCAGGGGAGTCGTAGGCGCAACGGGCGCGGACTAAAATATTCAGGGAGGGAAAGGCAGGGTGAATGGCCGAGCCAAGAGTTTCCAGTAATAAACCCAACAAACGAGTTTACGAGGAAAGAATGGCACGAAAGGTAGAAGAAAAAAAAGTTCCCAAAGGAACAATGATGAGGAAGGGAGGAGAAGGTTGTTGATAGAAGGATGGAAGAGAAGAGAGGGAGAGGGAGAGAGAGAGAGAGGAAGAGAGGAGAGGGAGAGAGACAATGCTTGGTGCAGCTGGATTGGTACTGCTGCTGCTTTGCTGCTGGCGTGTGTATGGGTCAGTTATCGGCGGTTGGCCCCAGGGCTGGCTTTTGGCTCCTCCTTCGTTTGGGCGACGTTCTGTTCTTTCGTAACTTCGTTTCCCCCCCCGTCCTTTCAGGTGAGGCTCCCTGTTCCCGAAAAGTAGGGTGACTAAGGAAAGGAACCTGACCAAACTCAGACTAGAAGGGCCTGAAACGGTTGGCAAGCGACATTTGGCCCAGCCCCATCCACCTTTCCTGGTGAAAATGCTATGTGGCTGTGAAAGCCAGTTACTTCTCTTATTATTTTTATTTTATTATGATTTGATTTGATTCAGATTATGACGATTTTATTTTCCACCCACTCTCTCTCCCCTTTCACTCCAATTTCCCCATTCATGTGATTCTGTTATTTATTCTCTTTCCTCCCATCTTAGACACACTCTTATTACTGTATGTAGATGACTACGGAACAAAAGGCAAAAAGAAAAAAAAAAAAAGTATCATACTTGGAATGACGTGATATGCTTTCCCAGTCCCCTCAGTAGGACACAGCACAGTTTGATGGCTTGTATCGCATTGGAATTTACAAAATGGTTTATGGGCCAACCAGATGAGAGATGTCGGATAATCTTTCCACGCCCTTTCTTTCTCTTTCTTTTCTTTCTTTCTTTTCATCTTTACAATTGCCATCTCTCCTTTTCTTCCATCATTTTACCTCCTTTTAACAGGCACCGAATTTGTTTCGCTCGTGACCCAGTTTCTTTCCTTCGTACAATGTTACTTACTTAGCTGCCTAGTTTGGTCTGCCTTCATTCTCCGTCGAAGCCACCGTGGCTGAAGACTAATGACAGGGTGAACGCAGTAATAATCAACATTACCTACGGGTATCAGTGGCACTTACGTATTGTCGTGGCCCGTGTTTACGACTATGTATTCATTCCCAGGCATTCAGCCCAGTCAACCTTCATCCAATTTCTTCCCCTGTAATAGTCGAGCTCCTTTTTGCTGCTATTAAGCTCCAACCTAACTAGTTCTTCGGTCCATCTCGGCTGCGTAGTGGTAAGTTACTTAGTAGACTAAGCACTGAATAGTTGTCAGTCGTTAGACTGCATTGCCTTAGCCTACTTCAATATTCCGCTTGCTTATCTTCCGAACAATTTCGAAGAGGGGAGGGGGGCAACTGCAAAAGTCAAAAGGTAAACAAAAATTGCCTCCTACAATTGAGGCCATGTCATCGTCAATATAATTCGTGATAGTACTACCAGTAACATGGTCCATTCTACATCCGCAATAAAAGAACTTCCGTCGACACCATAGTTACCGTCACCATAGTCGGAGAGAGCCTAGAAGCCTGTGGGCGCCCCAGAGACTCGGAGCTGTCGGCTGTGGCTCCATACTTCTCCTAATCGGCGGTGTCGCGTCCCTCCGGTTGTCTGGGTAAGCTGCCACAGTATTTTGTAACTTATGTGTTCCTCTCGCTTCCATGCTTCAGCATTAAAGATAGCGATAATCAAGCCAGCAAATTCCAGTTCCTCGATTCGCTATACTCATTAGGGTCTTCCCTGCATGCTACCCCAGCTTTCTTCCTTGGACAGACATACCGGCTGGATTTCATCTATGCATCTTGAATCACTCATTACATCGTGCTACACCACGCATGGAGTACTCCGCCCCAAGAAATAACATCATAGTCTGCAGCTCGCAATGATGTAGACGGCTGGTGGTGGAAGGGATAACCCAAAGACGATAACCCTGCAGGCGCCCTATCTTTACGCTGATTCGTTCCATTGTGGAAGTCTCGATAATCCAAGACTGGGTGTGTAGATACCTGCTGTACGGTCTGCATTGGCGATCCGAGTATAGCCAGGCAGCGGTCAGATTGCTTTTTCAGCGAACAACTCATCACCAAGCCAGCCTTTCTGTGGGAACTATGGAGTAAATATGATGATATTTCCTGCAAAGTGCCTTCAATTTCCAGAAGAATGACAGACCATCGGCACTCAAGATAACCATCGGACCTTCCGAGGGGATTAGGCTTAGCCTGGAAGGAGTAACCAAAGGTACGTACTTCTGGTGCGGTATGACGGTAACCTTCCAGACCCGCTAGGGGGGAGATGCTTCCTTCAATTACCGACAGTAAAGAGACGTGGCGGTGCAATTGATCGCCATGCTCTTTACCAAACATGGTCGGTACGTATATTCCTCCAGTGCAAACGTCATCTTTGACTAGAAGCAGGCAACTCCTTTATCTCTTTCCTATCATGAATATCAAAACAGATCGAGGATCGAAAGACGCAGAGGATCACGGAGTATATGGTCACCAACCCAAATAGCTGGTTTTCAAGTGGGGTGGTTGTGACTGCACTCGAGACTCAGCAAATGGCCTGGCTGACGTTTCGTATGCGGAATGCGGAAGTGCAGGAAAGATGCTGCAAGTCCGCGGCCGAGACGCTGTACTTCCACTACGGAGTCGATTTTCCGTACTCTCCGAGTTCCTTCGTGCGGAGAAAGCAACCATAGATAATCTGCCACGGCCTTCTAGGTCTAGTAGTTGCTGTACGAGAGCAGGTCCTGTGCACCTATAGAGTACATGATCTTCTCTGTTCTGAGTCAGTCTGTCAGACAGCAAACGCTATTGAAATGTTGCTAGCTCAGTCTTGTGCCTGGCTGACTTGGCAGGCTGTTGTTGTGTCTGATCGAACCTGCTTATTGCCTACTGATCATGTCAGATGCTGTGCCAAATCCATTTGGGGACCCGTAACTCTCAGCAGTGGTAAGACATGATCGGTGACACCGTCCCAGAGATCCGCTACATTGGCATTTGTCCTACAGGAGGCTTCTTGCAATAAGGATGGTAGTCACCGATGGATTACGAATCTACACAATCGTCTGCCAACCCACTTCACAGTGTCGATAGATTTGGACGTTGAATTAGGTAGCTCATGAGTGTGTGTACCTTCCCGGAGGATCTACTCAGTACCTCGCACATCATTGAACAAGTCATCGCGCGAGAGGTCCCTGCGTTAGCTCGCCGGTGATCTCACAAAGCAGAGTACACTGAAGGATGCTGGGCATGTACTGGAGACACTATGTTGTTGCCTGCTACGGATACCTGTTGCGAATGATGGCATACCCCTTGTGCCTTCGGGGTTGACGAGGATGGCGGCTGTGCCATGAAGACCACAGCTGATATGAATTCAACAATGATTCAGAAGATTGAGATATCCTATTATAGTATCAGTACCTGCAGCGGGAATAGTTGGCGTGACTCCCTGGGAGACTCTGAGGACAGGGCCAACCTTGTGGGTTATAATAATCCTTAGAGGTAGCATGATCTGTATGCAACGTAATACACTCTTTTCTTTTTTCTGATATATAAAGCAAGTCTCCCGCGAATAACCCGCCCACTGGATGTTACGATGTTTACGTCTAGAGGAGACAACCAAAATAGCACTTATACCCAAACGAAGATGGTATGACCAGTCTTTGTTGAACATGAGTGATGATCTCGAGTATAGTTGCAATTGATCTATGGTTGATGGCCAGCCCTGTGCCATAACGGCTTATATGCTCTGTAGAATAAATCTAAGATCCTCAGTCTATATTAGTCCTCTTTGGCCTCTATGGGTTGAGAAACACTGATAACGGTGTTTCAATTCTTACTGGTCAAACAATTCTCTCCGTTTCTCATATATATTGGGGGTTTCACTTTTCAGGATCTTCGATTCCTTAAAGTAATACTGAGTGCTGAATATGAAGTGCACCCTGTCTCGATCGGAGGGGCCTTGGAAAGGTATTGATGTGAGTATTACTTACCTAGTCCTAGGCGCACGTGCTAATTTTGGCGCTATGGCCAGGCTTTCTTTGATGCTAGCTGCTGCATATCTGCTGAAATGTACTCAATTATCCAGTGCTTATAAAAAGATCTTCAGAGACTGCTAAATAAATAGTCACTAGCAAATGTTGTGACGAGACAAATTCCAGTGTGTACATACCGAGTAGTACTTAGTTTCGGAACCCCCGTCATTTTGTTTCCCCATTGGCTCTCCATAGTCCCGGTCACGTGCACGAACCAGGGCCGCAATTTTCCCTCCCGAGCATCTCTCAAGGCTTCCTGGTGACTCCGCGGGAACAATCGGCCATTGCTGGGCAACAGTCAAGATGCAGAAGGTCATTCGAAGGACCGCCCTGGCGCGGAACCAGGCCACACGGAAAGCAGTTCGAGCCTCCAAATCAGCCGAACGCGAGGAATTGAAGGACAGTCTAAGGCAGCGCTTTGCCTACAACCGCATCGAGCTCGATAACCTCCGCGCGGAAAGACAACGACGCCGTGAAGACTGGCTCCGTGGACCCCTGGCTCCTCAGCGTGATGCCGGTCTTGAAGGGAGGCTTTTCGGTGCGTTAAGCCCTCAGGCAATGAACCCTCCGCCTATTCCGGAGCACTTGCGGAGACAGTACATCAACATTGCTCCCGGCGACCGAGTATGCATCATGAAGGGCAAAGACAAGGGCAAGATCAACGAGGTTACTAGGGTGGATGCTACGACCGAGACTGTTGTGGTCAAGGATCTCAACATGGTATGAGAATATATCTGGAGTAACCACTGTTTCGTTTGCTGATCCTTGGGTTTTCCAATAACAGGCCGATGTCCACTTCCCCGACTGGCTGAATGAGCAGTATGGCAACTCGAGCCCCTTCCAGTCCGTGAGCCTGCCTCTTTCCATTGACGATGTTCGCCTTGTCGTCGCTCTCGATGATCCTGTCACCGGCGCCACACGAGATGTATTGGTTGAACATGTCCGCGGCGGAGAGCCTTTCCTCGAACGCGACTACGGTACCGAAACGCCCCGACACACGAGATACATTGCTGGTGAAGACATTGAGATTCCTTGGCCCCGAAGTGACCCTGCAGAAATGAAGGATGAGGCCTGGGACACGCTCCGTATGGAAGTTGAAACGCCCACTTGGATGCCGTCGTTGCACTACGCCCCATTCCCTCCCAGCGTCCTGGACGAACTCCGCAACAAGTTTTCGAAGTACAGAACGAGACACGATGAGGAGTGGGTGGAGGCCAGGAAGATGGAAGACTACAGAAGGGAATATCTGCAAAGCCGGTCTTTGTTGACACCCAGAGGTGAATTCTTGGCCATGCTTCAGGCCAAGAGGCAGGAGCGCCAGAACGCGAGGAAGGATGCCAATGGAAATTACATCCTGGATGATAAGACGGTCGGATTCATTGAGAACTTCATGAAGGAGAAAGCGACCAAGAAAGCCTAATTGCTTGCTGGGATTTCGTTTGGTGTTCCGACTTGTGGGAGAGTGCGCCTGGGTCTTTTCTGTTTCTTTTCACTTTTCCTTTATTTTTCCAATGGGTGTACACAATTATACTACTGTAGCATAGAATCTGAATGTATAAGATGAATAGTATGGATAGGCTGCTTCCCTACAGCACCAAACTGTAGGTTGATTTGAGTACAGTTACATCCGTCGCAAGAAGACTGGACGTAGGCGCGACCGGACCCAATCTTTGCGGATTACTTTGCCCCAAATGCGCTCGAAATTATGGATGCGCGCGCCCACGGGTCGACAGTGCCGCCAGGGGAGGTCTGCAGCTTCGTTCCTTGCTAACTACTTATCTTTCTTCATCCATCCGATCCGCGTCCCGGTTTACCCATTTCTCCCCCATTCAACTTCCTTTGTTCTAGGCGGCCTCAACTGTTTTGACTTACGCAGATTATATATATAAGCGTCATTGGGGCTGTCACCTTTCACAGCATGGCTTTTGCCACGATCAACTCATCGGTGCCGTCCAGTATCCCGGCCATTGAGGACGCCTTTGCCGCCCAACCAGCGCTCAAAAAACGGGTTTACGATGCGATCGGTGCGTGTTATGTCGCTTAAGACAACAATCTACTTTCACCCCACAAATCCATAGAAGGAGCAAGGACTGCCGGCTGACCCTCTCGACCTGTAAACAGCACATACCCCGCAACATGGACTTCTCTTCGAAGATATCGCGAAATACACTTCCAGCCTGCTGGCCAGGACTGCAACCGCCCCCGTTCGGCCTGTCGAGGTCGTCACCGACGGCCCGGCTATGAAGAAACGAAAACTACAGAATGGCAATGCTACAAGTGCCCAATCCTCCGGCGACTTGAAAGCAGATACTTCGCTCCAGTTCTACATGCAGGATGTTTCCTTTGCTGTTCCCCAGCGGAAGAAGCTTACACTTGAAATCACCGCCGGATTCCTACGTGCGAGAAACCAGACATCGAAGGAGGTCGAGTTTGGAGTACATTTGGATAACATACGTATGTGTAGAACTATGGTTGACGGAATTGGTATCAATGCTGACAATGTTGTTGGATCCAAACAGAGCATGTCTTGTGCCTCCCCGTTCCCGAGAAGAACCAGCGACAATTTAATTTCTGCATTATCCCCCAATATGCGGACGGCGTCAACTCACCACCTGAAGGTGTAGCTGCTCCCGATGCCATCGTATGGACGGTCAATGACGGACCGCCCAAGGCAGCGTTCTCAGGCAATGGACAACAGCTTGGAACGGACAACGAAGAAACCACAGATAAGCTTGTCCAGCGGATATTGAACGACAGCCTCCCACGGACCAAGGTTGTGCGCCCGGATGAGCGAGAGTTCGTGAGTGCTATGCCTGAGGCTCACCGCAAGGGGGAGAAGGCCTATCATGTCAAGGCCTTCCGCGGCAGTAAAGAAGGTATGCACGCCATGTTCTTTCCTCATGTCCCCTTGACTAAAATGGTTACATCGCAGGCTATCTCTTCCTTCTTTCTACGGGAATACTATTCGGGTTTAAGAAACCACTGGTCTTCTTTGCCTTTGAAAACGTCGACTCAATCTCATACACCTCTGTCCTGCAACGGACCTTTAATCTCAATGTTGTAGCTCGGCCTACGTCAAGCGAAGAGACGCAGGAATTCGAGTTTTCCATGATCGACCAGGCCGACTTCTCGGGAATTGATGGTTATATCAAAAAGCATGGTCTGCAGGATGCCAGTCTTGCCGAAGCACGACGTGCGAAGCGATACAATGTCAACAGTGTCAAGGGAGACGATGAAGCTGCTGCCAACGAGGAAGGGGCTGTCGAGGAGGAAAGTGAACTGCAGAAAGCCCAACGCGAGTTGGAAGATCAAGAGGACGAGGACGAGGAAGATTACGATCCCGGGAGTGACAGTGAGAGCGACGGAAGCGGCTCTAGTAGTGAGGACGACGACGATGAGGAGGAGGAGGATGATGAAGGCGACATGGATGAGGACGGCGAAGACCGAAATTTGGTGGCGGAGGAGCTCGGAAGTGAAGCAGAAGACGTTCCGGCGGAGGAACTGTGAGAGACCGCCTATATATCCAACCTGCTGCTGTATGAATAAGTGACTGTTGCTATGGTCACACCAACACACCCTGTGTGCGATGTGATGAAGTGTATTCGACAATCGCGTGGCTAAACCACTCTACTGGATGGGTGGCCCGTTACACTACACCAGGCCACTCGAACGTATGAATTTTTGGGGCCGATTTAGGCCGGACTATGCCCCTGCATTATCTGGCATACGCGCCTGTATGCCGTAGAGTTTTGCCAACGAGGCATTCCACGTCTGATGTAGTTGGGGAGGGAGAAACCGTTTCAAGGCTGCATTGAATGCGTTTCAAACGGGCAGTCATCACTTCAAGGCCAGTCGATCAGAACAAACCAAGCACAGGCATCCAGTGGGATGTGGGTCATGGACGTGTCAGATGCGTCTAAACTGGAGGAGCCACTGGTGAATGTGCTACGGAGTTGCAGGATGCCCGGCTGTGCGGCGCAGTACTCAGTAGCGACATTTCATGGGAGGTCAGTCCTCCATGGGAAATCCGATCATGACGGCCGATTACTTCTTCGAGAACACTTCTAATCCTCCATATTATTGAAAAGTGGTGGAAGCCGCCAACCCAATTGGGCTCTTCGGAAGCACCCCTGTGCTATCAGGGCCCCCAAATCCCACGCCGATACCTTGTACCAATGAAATCAGCAGGTCAATACCTTGATAATGAGGACACTGCGGAGCAAAGTAATCCTCCTCCTACTCCTCGTTTGGAAAGAGTGGGGAGGGGGGTGGATGAGTATTAAGTCTAGTCTCCCAATTCTCAAGTCACTCACTCACAGCCTCCGTATCTATTATGTATCTACTAACTGGTAGGGGCCAGGTAAGTACGGTATGATACATTATTTTTTTCCCCGATACGACACCTATCTACCACTAGCAGCTACCGAACACTTTTACTAGTAGTAGTCCGACTACTATTTGAAGTAGCTCGATTGGTTGCCCTGAGCGTCAGGTTGGGTTACAGACTGGTCAGGGGCAGTGCCAGCTCAGCGCAGGTACCTTCAAACCCCTCAAGGCTTTTTAGATGCAGACCGCAGCACCTCACTAGTCACTAGGCAGATTAAGAGTGATTAGCCGCTAGGAGCGAGCTGACATTCTGTCATTGTCGAATAATATATATGGGGCGTTGTTTTAGCTGGATTGACAGCTACGATCGCTGGCGATTATTGGTAGAGAAGGGGAGAAGGGAATTGGACCGCTGTGTCGGTTAGGTTACTTACTTACTACTACTAACCTAACTAGCAAAGTACAAAGTCACTTACTAGTTAGGTTGGATAGTATACGATCTTACTAACCTAGGAAATTATTATCTGCGCCATTACCCGCAGCTTGCGGACAACTCGCATCCCCTCTGCGCAGGTACTTCAACTCTGGGTTTAGGGGTCCTGGGGTTAACTGTTGCTTGCTTGTTCCGGAGTAGAAATCCGATTGAGAGGAGGGTGTGTCCCGCAATGATAGGGGAAAGAGAAGCAATGTGATTCGATTTATTGAACTACCGATCGGATAAACGATCCATAAAGATGAAGTTAGTCATTAGATACGTAGTGTTAGTTCTGTTAGGCATGTGTTGGCTTTTCATGAGCTCCTCTGCTCCAAGTCAAGTATAGGCAGGTTTTATGTTCCGCAGGGAAATAGATTGATACACCACGTATGTACCCGAAATTACGTTACCATGCCAAAACCAGCTAGACCTTGATGGCCATTTCCATCCTGTCGTTCATTCCTCGGTCAAGGGAGCAACAACAACAACCTAGTAGGGGGGGGAGGACAAGTGCAACTTGTGAAAGTATAGTAGTCAATTGTAGTGATTATGGTGAATAAATAGTTGGTTGAAACTAACCTCAATGTCAATTGCGGTGACTATATAGTTATTCTTAATAGTATCCGTATAGGTAGAAAAAGAGAATAAAATGGATGGATGGATTCCTTTTGCCTACCGTGAGCGAACCCCCGGGGGTTCCATGTTTCTTTTTATTTTATTTTATTTTTCCTCTCCTTGTTTAGTGCTGGATGGAGCTTTTGACGACACACTTAAACAGCGCCAGCCCCATGTGGCACTGGGGGGGAAAAAGAGGAGAAAAAGGTAACAATCGTACCATCGAGACCACCGCAATAATAAATAATAATAATAATAGCTTTTTCCATCTGGTCCAGAATCCACTGCTGGCGTCTACTAACCGGAGTAGTGCCCGCTTTCAACCGTTCATCGCCCAAACAGGCTGAGCGCTAGCGGCGCCGCTAGTAAAGGTCCCTGGGTCAGGGCGATTCCGAGTTCAGGATAAAATTTGGGAGGCGAATAAGCGCCATTGAAGTCTGCAACTCGATCCTTTCATTGGCTCTCATATTATATCCAGAGTTTTCTTCTTCTTCAAGTTCTTGGGATCAACAATTCCAGTGTCTGGTAGGCATGAGAGACAACTCTGGGGTAATCTGAAAAAAATGGAGATCTTGTCTCACTCACATAATCTTACCCGATCAGCAAGTGGTAGTAATAGTAGTACTTCTTTAGGAGAGAGAGGTATGTGGGAAGTGGAAGGACTGATGAATGAATGAACGAATGAATGAAGAAATGCATGGGGCCCTCGGGATGTCTCAGTGTAATCAGGTACCATACCCGTACTCCCGATTACCGCCCTTCATCCCCTATCGATGGGGCCTTTCCGGCTCCAATGGCCTGCACTAGTTGATACCAGTTACCCAGTTGTTACCATCGTTACCGTGAGAAAACCGGGCGGAAGCGCCCCATTTCGAAGGGCGTCATCGGGTTTCGACTTTCTCGAGTCTTTCGACAGGTAAGTAAGTTACTTGATTTTACTGGACTTTACTTACCTGAACTAGTAGCCGATACAGCTGTTCCGTCATGACCTGACCAAAACCTAGCAAAGGAACCAGACCGGACCAGACCAAACCTCTCTCTCTCTCTCCCTCTCTCTCATCCAACCATCGCCTCTCTTGCCGCGCTCTCTCTCTCTCTCTCTCTCTCTCTCTCTCTCTCTCTCTCTCTCACTCCTCCGTCTCTCTCCTCTTCCTCTTC